AAGTAAAGAAAGAAAGAAAGAAAGAAGAAAGAAAGAAGAAAGAAAGAAAGAAAGAAAGAAAGAAAGAAAGGAAGAAAGAAAGAAAGAATTGCATACAAATGGTGAACTAATTAACTAATTATCTATGATGATTTGACATTCATCATTCTAAATTATGCTCTAATTTCTAATTTTGGTTTAGTCAAAATTTTCACTGCTGAAGCATTGGAATCGTTTCTCTCTAGGTTTGCTGCCATTCTCAACATCTTAATTATTCGAACTACCTGTCCAAGCTTAGACACCAAACAATACAAACAGTAAAGGAGACAACAAAGAATAATGGCAGGTGCTAGTAATATGTAACAATCTATCTCATATTCATTATCACGATTATCAAAATGATCGCAAATCAATTCTATTTCACCATCTAGTAGACAGAAATCAATAACTGTTTTCGGAAGCATATCCGAAAAGAATCCTGCTATTATTTGTTGTTCGTCCGCTACTGCATCGATCACAAATTCTGTCCAATCATTCCGAAATCGAACACGAAGTTCGGTTGTATTCAATGGAAGTTTTCCGGACCATGTCATCTGCGTTATTATTGAATTAATTGAATGCATTTGTAGTTGAAGAGGAGGAATATCCACCGAAATTTTTGCTTCGAATAAACCTGTTTCAGAAGAATATGCTAAACATCGATAGGTATCGAATTGATTCCGATTGATTTTTTCAAACATTAAGAATTGTCTTTTCAAAGTTTCAGTATTTGTTGAATCGCGCCATTGAATGATTGATTGTGAATGATCGACTGTGTCACAGGTCACAACCAATCTCTGTCGTTCCATGGCAGTACATGTAGACGATAAATCAATTCTCCTTGGTGGACATTTTCTCACGATTCCAGAATTATACAAATTTTGGTATCCTTTCCTGTCTAATAAAATGTGTTTGAAGTGTTGAAGCCATGTTAAATTGCAATCACAAAGTAATGGATTCCCGTATAGGGTCAAATGCTGTAGAGATGGCAATTTTAGTTGCATACTGAGGTCATGCAATCTTGACAGATTACAGTGATGAAGGTGAATTAGCACAAGTGATGGGAGTAGTCGAAATGCACCGTAATAAACCTGCGCCAGTTCCGGATTATCGTTTAGGTAAAGTTTCTGCAGCTTGGGAAGATTCTGGAACGAGTTTTCTTCTATTATCGCTATTTTATTATCTGCAAATGGTAAATTATCAGGAAGCAACTTGAGCTAGAACACCTGATCAAACCGGAACACCGTCTCACAAAAATTATAACTGAAACTTTCCAAAGATTTGTCGCAAAAACTTGCGATTAAGTGAGGATAATTAAAGGGTATAGTCTCAATTAGAAGTCTCAAGAAAAGCAAGAAGATTGGTGGACAAAGCTTAATGGATGCCACCCGCCTTCACCGGAAGGGTCAGCAATTCAAGCTCATAATATCCAGTTCTGGTCATCCATAAAAAAATTACTAACTTGGAACACGCCTCATTGGATTAGGAAGGATATTCAAATTAGCCTCTTTCAAAAAAGAAAAAAGTTTCGATCAAATAAACTTACTGGATAAATCGATCTCCTGGATGGCGAGAAGGTTAGCGAAATCATTACTTCTAATCGTCGTAATAAGCGTTGAACTGAGATTTAACTTAATCAATGTCGATGCGACTACACGTAAAACTTTCTGTGGTACTTCGATGAGAGGGTTCTGAGCCAAATTCAAATTTTTTAGTTTGATCAGTAACATTGGTTGTATGTAGGATATTCTGTTGTTAGCAAGTGAAAGTGTTTGCAGATTTGAGGAATTGAGCAATTCCGGGAGAATATCTTCGATTAAGTTATCATCCAAATAGAGCTCTTTCAGATCAGGAATATGCAGCAGTAGTGGCAACGTTTTCAGCTTATTTCCGCCAAGATCAATTTTTTGGAGAGAAAATAAATTTTTGAAAGCAACTTTGGAAATTTGACTAATCTGGTTATGCGACAAATTTAATTCTTCCAGATATTTTAAAGGTGCCAGAATTTTATCCGGAATACTACATATCCTATTATGCCCCAAATTCAACCGTTTCAGGCGACAAAAATCGTCGAGATTCGGGACCTCTTCCATCTTGTTGTGTGAAATGTCCAATTCTATCACTTTCGAAATCATTAATTCATAACTATCCGAAACAAATCTGGTAGGATAGGAATGCGAATTGTTGCGAATCATTTCGAACGGAAGAAATTGTTCCAGCATGGAATTTGAACAGTTCATTTGATGGACATTCTGCAGCACATAACAATGGCATTGCTTCGGACAAGGAGTGTTACTCAAACAGGATGAGCAAAATATTGATAGACAGAAGAAAGCTACAAGACTGGGAAATCTCATTGCTTCTCTCGATGATCAGCTCTGAAGAATTGATTAATCGAATTAGGAATTGAATTGCTATGGATCAGTATAGTAGATGTGGTAAATAGAACAACAAATTGGTATGAGTAAATAAAATAAGTATGAAAACAAAACGATGACCATGAGAAGAAATAATGCAAAAGATCAAAGGTCAACTCTTCCTTTACCCGCCTCCATCAATAACTGCAAATCTATTATGAACTTAACTTCAAACTCTACTCTTCCTGTTTGTTGTCCTTCGCCCTGACCTCTAACCCCCTTTAGATTTTATCCATTTTTATTTTTAAATATTAGCAAGAAAGATTTTGCAACTTCCCAAAGTTTTTTGTAAAGTTGAACTTCTAAAGAATTTTTCTCTTTTAGGTTCTTTGAAGTAATTCTTGAAGTAACCTCTCGAGTTTTTCACTCGATTCACTGTCAGACCCTAAAGTTCAAACTGAAAATTTACAATTTGTAATTTTAACCTTTCAATTGATTTCTTCACTCTGACATCCCATAGAAACTCTTTGATCGTTTTCAAATAAACTAAAAATCAATGGGTCATTCCTTTCACAAAGCCATTTTAGATCGGAATTTAACAAAAGTTCAGTTCAAAGCGCTTTCTTCCACTTTCAAACAGCGCGCCTTTTTCAAGACACTTTCAAACTTCCCATCGGCTCATTATAGTATAGCGATATTCCTCAACATAACTGCGTGGTTACGGTAGCGCGTTTAGGATCAAGCAACGGGAGTGTTCTATTAGTAGTTTCAGTTATTTCTGGGGGGTGACTCGTTTTACGTTTGCATTATAATTGGTCAAGTGTGGCAATTTCGTGGCATCCTTACATATACTAGTATTAGTAGTACCGTACACGTAGGGACGTAATCTGAAATCGACGTGACCCTGAAATCGATGCAAACAGAGCAACAATCATCTGAGACTGCGTGTTCTTCCTAAAAATTAATTCTCGTTGCTTCGAACAACATACCACTCGGAGATATCTGCTTCTCCTGTAATTGCGTCAATTATACGCACGCACGCACGCACATACATAACGCACAACTCTGCATTGCGCGTTTATTGGATATGTAAGTAATTCTCGTTGTTTTATTTATTTCCTTCTCGCTTATTGTTATTTTAGCGATGATTGGAATGTAAGAAAAGGATTTTTATGTGGGACAAAATGTGTACTTTTATGGACTAAGCTGAATAGATGCAGGATTTCTGTTCGGTCTTTTTTTTTTGGCTTTCGATTCAAGTATTAGTGAGCGCAACAAACTGACATCATACTTGGCATTACTAGTACTGTGATAAATCCTTAGCGGTAAGCAAGTTGGGTGATAAGAGCGATTGCGATTGACGTATGATTCAAGTGATAATACACTAGGTATCATTAGCAGGGTTTATGCACAGGTCGCTAAATAGTTACTGAAAATTTGGCCTGTTGACTTGCGAAGTGAGTGAATTGGTGGCGCTATGCAACAGTGCATCAGTTGTCACGCTGTAATTGGGCTCAATAAGATGAATCATATATTTCAGTCCACCAAGCATCATTTCCCTTTCCGTTGTGAAAAGTTACTTGACATTGCATCATTCACATTCAAAGTAATTGGAATTTGTGGGATTTTAATTTGTTAATTTAAAATCAATGTGCTTGATGAAGAATAAGGATAGTGATAGATAATGTTATTTAGGTTATAGTAACTCTTATACTTCAGTATAATGTGACGTTGATGAATGATGAAGTTTTTGCAACGATTATTTGACAAAGATAAGCATTATAGAAAATGAAATCTGTTAGCTGTCATAATCAACTGTGTAAGTTTAGTTGATAATTAGAATGTATCAGTATTGATCGTTTGATTAGATGTTTGAAGTACTTCTTCCTAATGAAATATATGAGGATAGAAGTTCGAATCATCATCACACTTCAATGATGTGTTATTTATAGCTTATCCCGTCTTAAGAAATCTTCTACTTTCTTGAATATCTTATCTATTTCATTAGGATATATGACTTGCTTCTGATATCTAACATATATGTGTGCCTTTGTAATGTGCGTTTGAAAGAATGCCAGATTGATATTTGTTGGTCGATTGACGGAAGGTATTTGTTTGCCGTTCGGAAATTCGTATGTATATCATTACAGAAAATTTATTGTTTTGTATTTGTATTTACCGTAAAACCACGATTGAAACTATTTTGCAGTGTACCATCTCCCGTAGGCTATGGCAGAACACGAACACGATCACGATTTTCATACGGGCGATGCTGGTGCTGCTACAACATATCCGAAGCAGTGCTCTGCTCTTCGCAAGAATGAGAATGTTATGCTCAAAGGGCGTCCGTGCAAGGTACTTTATAGCTTTTCGATTTAAATAGTTATATCGGCTGATGGTGTTAACTGAATCAGATAAACAAGAAGGTATTGTAATGTGCATGGGAAATTTCATAAATTCCGCCACCCATTCATTGACAGCAGTCAGTTGAGACTTTTCCTGATGGAAAATATTTCGATATTTTGCAGTCCAACCAAGATTTTCTTTAAATGTTTTAAAGGCAATAAACCTTATATATTTTTTTTTATAAAAGTAGGTTGATCCTTTGCAACAGAAGACGTGGAGAAAGAGTAGTTGTAAATTATCAGAGTAAGGTATTTCAGATCTGCTGAAATAATCTCTGCCTGACTTTTCCGCTTATAAATGACTAGATTTCATAGTGGAAGTGCGAGAAATAAGAAACCGAAGGAGTCAAATAAGTGATGTTAACATTTGATAGCCGGATTCGGATTATCACTGGTAATGTTAGTTTGTAATCTATAATGTCAGCTTAGATAAAGCTGAAATATTTTAGGTTGTGGAAATGAGTACTTCCAAAACTGGTAAGCACGGTCATGCCAAAGTCCATCTTGTTGGTTTGGATATCTTTACTGGTAAGAAGTTGGAAGATATTTGTCCATCCACTCACAATATGGATGTTCCTGTAGTGAAACGTAAAGAATATCAGGTTTGTTAATGATTCCTTCAAAATAACAGAATTGATAACTTTTTGTTGCATCAAATTAGGACATTTGCGTAGTTAATGAAGAATGATTGGAAGCAATTTCAATATGAAATGTGAAAATGACGTTTAAGGGTGGAAATATTAGGATTGTAGGGAATGAACAATTTCAAACGACAGGTTTGTTCTTCTTAATTCTACTAAATTGCAATTGCAGCTCTTGTCAATAAATGACGACGGTTACGTCAGCTTAATGGATCTAGATACGTGTGAAACAAAGGATGACTTGAAGTTACCTGAGGGTGACCTGGGAGATCAGATCAAACAGGCATATGAAAAAGACGAAAATGGGATATTGGTAAGTTTTGGCGTTTGCACTTACTGATCAGATGAATATGTGTATAGCAGATCATTCAAAATTAGGGAGCTCTCTTGAGAGTACCGGAAAAATGTTCGTATATGTAATGTCTCGTAAGTAAAAAAAAAAAAAAAATTTTTTACTGTAAAACATAACATATCACACCTATCAATTTTTAGTGTCTCGTTGTTGCTGCATGTGGTGAGGAGGCTATACTCGGTTTTAAGAATATGCCGAACAAGGAAGAAAAATGAGGCCTTTGGTGGTCGGTGCTCAGAATTACCCCTGATGTTGTTTGGTTTGAGGACAATCATCGAATGTTACGTTTCGCTTTTTTTTTGGAAGGAGGAATATACGTCACATTGACTTGTTCCCATTACCTGTCGTTGGTTAAATTTTTGTAGTGTCACTCCGTCGTACTTGGTATTAAAACTGTATTTCTTTGTTACTGTAATCATTTATTAGTTGTTCGTGTTTACTACTGGGGTTATGTGTACTCTTGCTATACAATCATCGTCACATAATTCTTTTGTGACGTTCTTGAATTTTTTGAATTCTTAACCCCAACAGAGGCGCGCGGACAGACCTTTTCCTCGCTCTTCTTTTCTGCTTTCAAATTATATTACTACTTGGCAGTTTTTTTTCTTAAAAGTTGTTTTGTTGAATAAACTATTTAAAAAACTTTTATTTCTTCGGTGAAATTAGTCTTATAGGTTATCTCACAAAAATTGAGATTGAGGGAATCAAATTCAAGAAAGTTTAAAGGATACCTGTGATATCCTACAATGGTTCTCTGCTACGAATTCGCCTGTGTGATAAGGTATGTCGTTAGTTGAATTTGTTTCTGAAAAGCGAATCGAGAACACATATCCGACCGTTTTATGCGATTTCCTTCTGAACTCTGAGGTGCTTGATCTCATATGCCTTGAGAATGAGCACGATGTTATGTCATGAGCTTACCCTGATAGTTGCTATGAAACTTTTAAATCGATTGAAATATTAATGGCAACCACGATCTCTGAGGAACGGTTGGAGGGGTGGTACTTTATTTCATAAAAAGTATAATTATAAATCTAAAAGATTCCCCATAAGCAGCATCACGCTTGGAAGTACTGACAAAAACAATGCGGTTGACTTCGTCTCTATTTCATTTGCATTAGTTGTTGGTGTTAATTGTTAATGTGCTAACAATCCCGAGATTAAATCTACATCCAGAACTCATCCTGGTATAGGAAAGACTCAAATTGATAGCTTTATCACAAAAAACTGCAAAATTCCCACTGTCACTGATTCCTGATTGGTGACGATGATGCCGACAGGAAAAGAGTTTAAACCTATGTGAACTTGCAGATACTGGATCTGCAACAACACATATGCAGTGCAATGATGTCGATTCTATTGCATCGATTTGAATGAAAATATTTCGGCTAGTCTTTCGGAATTATAAAAGAGCATCGCCAACGATGTCTGTAAGAAGTTGCGCAGATATGTCATATACATTAGAATCTTGGCAAAGAGCTGGTGTCCATTAAGAATGCTTGTACATCTGATGTCACTAACATGGGGTTGTACGTCAACATGGTGATTCCAAGTCTCACTGTTCACTGAAGATATGAGAGATGATAATTTTATTGCTGTCCTTCGTTGGTTAGGTTGACAGAATATTTACGTTAAACTCAGCTTGCTGAAACAATATTTCGAATTTTATTAGCTTTGCAGCTATTACAGGATGTAAAAATCATGCCTGTGCGACTTGTTTCCATTAAGAACCTTTCCAATTATCTGTCAAACATTTTGTTGAGCGACTAATTTATTATTCGCTAACTGCCATTAGCCTTAAGAAAAAAGCTATTGTGATGATACATTTATCAAGCGTTGGCAGAAAGAAGACACCACTTTTGTTATATTTAAAAGAGAGAACATTTGAAAATTAAGTTCCCATCAAATTTAAAAAGCAGTAAGTCAATAACGTAGAATAATTTTTATATGAAAAGGAAACCAAAAGCATAAATGATGATACTCCATTGTTTCTCCACCTCAGAATATAACGCATCATTTTCTCAGAGATACCGCATTGAACAACCTTGACCCTTTGGGAAGATGATTCGTCATCCTCTTTCACTTTTTTCATTGTGCATCACAAAATATTCAAAATTTAGGGGGAGATTAGCAATTCCGAAATAAACATGAACTTTACCAACAAGTTTTTTCCAATACTGCTGGCTAATTAAAAGAAGCTTCGGAACAAAACTGGAAGGACAATGACCAGTTATGGTTCCAAAATTTCAGAACTTATAGTGTTGAAATTCGTTATCACTCTTTCTAGCATTAGCTATCGCCAGTAACACTTTGCTTTTATAAAATAGTACTTTTTGTAGCTTTCTTTTTACTCTGAATGCTTAAAAACAGAACAAATATTTTAAGCAGCCTAGCTGTTTGGCTCCAAAATCCATCTTGAAACATATGATTCCCTGATTATCGTATATTCAGCGAGTCCTTGAATTTAAAAATCTGCGAATCCATGCTCAATCAATGAGATAGGTGCTACTTTCACAAAATCGATGATGGGATAAGATTGCTGCATGCAATGATCACGCCTTATCTTACTTGCATACCAGTGCATTTCACTTGAGCATTTTTCATGAATACTTTCAATTACATCAATATCATCATCTTATGTGATATCTGAAATGACTACAAATCTTTCACCTATCAGTGCTACCGAAACCTTCAATCATCAGATGAAACCGACTGAAAAAGTCTTAATAGATGGAAAATATTTTCGAATTCCACATATCTGTAATGCTTACAAATTACCATATTTATCAAAAGCATCAACCACCATCGAAATAAGCAATGAGTTGTGCGTCTCATCATCTTGACAAAAAATCCGATGTCATCCATTTCTTCCTATATTGATACTTCGATTGTTTCGTTGAATAAAAGCTGTCACAAGATATTCCGATCACTTTTACGTTACTTGTGAAATTGATAGCCTGAATTCTTAGGAAAAAAAGGTAGGATGCATGAGAAAATCAATAAATGATACCTTTGATAAAATGATCAGAAGCTTACAACAAATTACATTTCGGGAGAAACTATCTGTTTTCGGAGCACTAATATTCTCACATCCAAAAAATTGCGCAATCATTGCAGTATGATTTCAGATGTTTAGCAATGTATAGGAACATGATAAATTTCGCGAAAAGCCGAATGCATAATTGAACTATTCTATGTGAAATTGAAATCATACGTCATAATATAGTTCTGTCACACTGCATTTATATAAATGGTTCTCAATCGATGACCCGTGAACCACAGATGATCCAGGGGAATGAAAATGGGTCTGCAAGAACTATTAAAAATTATATTCCTTCTTTTTTATATTATAATATTATTCTAAGTCTAACCAAAAATGTTAAGAGTTTTGATTGTTTATTTTTAAATTAACAGAATTTATTATTCCTGAACTTTGTGGTTCATGCTAGAGCTAAAGTGAACTGATTAAGAAAAGTTTGGAATCACTGCTTTGTACAATTATCACCCAACTCTTCATCATAACAAGCTAAGATAATATGCGATAAACTTGACTCATTATCAATGTCTGGCTCAGGTATGATAACGAATGACACAAAAGCGGAAATTTGCAAAGTATCTTTTGGTCACATGCCGCTTTTACTTATGCGTCAGCGAACAATTCACTAGAAGCACTTTCTTCCAGCTATCCACACAGGCAAATCTAACCAGAAAACCGTGTCGTCATTGTCACCTAGCGAGATTGCCTCCTATTGTTTTGTATTTTTTATTCGAATCAATGACGAAAGGAAGGAGCACAGCAAGTTCTAGGGATAACAGCGGGGAAGTGATAAAGGTCCCGCAGTTAGCGGTGATTGATAACTCTCTTCGGGTAGCATAAGTTTTGTCATTTGTCTTTCGGAAGATATTCCGAAATGATCAGTAATGAAGCTTAACTATCAGCAAGCGCTTTATTTATTTGCTCTAATATTTATTACTGGTTGTCTACTTATTACATTGTTTACATATTCTATTGATACAATTGACTTGTTAGCATATTAGTTCATTTCTTGGTACACACTCATTGAAGTAATTTATTTGTGCAATTACTCACTTATTAACAATGAATATGGATGTGTATAGCTAAAGATATCATTTTATATTCTAATTACTTTCAGTAGAATGATTAATTAACTGACTTCAGTTTAGAACGGAAATCGATTGATGGTTACATTATTCTGGATGAAGATCAATTTAGGATTTCATCATTTAAAATGAATTATAAGGCGTTTTGATGCGAATTGATTGTGCCGACAATAAGTTTACTTCTTTTTTATAGAATATATATATAGATATGGAAACCGAAGCAAGCAGTTCGGATGGTTCAACAACAAGTGTAAGTGTTAAAACTGAGGTGAATTTATACTTTAGGATCAATAACAGAAGATCAGAAACCGTATCAAATATATAATCACCATTGAGGCTAATATTTTCATACCAACTGATTTCAGCCAACATTACCGGTAGTAGTCCCTTATGAAGTGAATTCGATGATACTTTGTAGCCATACCGATAATCTTTTTTATGAAGCCAAAATAATCGCTGTAAAAGTGCAAGCAAATGGCGACTACGTGTATACCGTACATTATCAGGTTGTTGTTTAGCTTTTTACAGAAAAACGAAAGTACATATTTCGGAAAGGGAAAAGAATTGTAGACAAAGTAATGAAAAGCATCACTGTGATCAATGGATCTTATTATTAGGGATGGAGTAAACGATACGATGAAAATATCCCGCACAGCAGGTCTGCATCACGTTTCCGTCCATTTACACCGGAAAATATTGAACTTGCAAAGGTAATACTGGGATTATTGCTGAAGCATTTGAATTAGTTTCTACAAATCAAAAATTCCACTCCGGAAATGTGAATAAGTAAATGAACGATTGAATAATGGCAATTATATATAATCTATATCTTGAAAGATTTTAATGAGTTTGGAATATATTGCATCGAATTTTTAGTTAATTAGTTTTACGACAAATGGTAGTATATTTTTAGGCGTTAAAGTGTAAATTTGGGTTAGAAGGGAATAGATTAGGGAGTTATTTGTCGTTTCATGTCATTGGCGCAGATGTTTAATATCAGAATACTGATCTGAAAATATTAAATGTTTGCATGGGATTGTAATTGTAGATTGAAATGAAGGAGGCGAAAGCTCGAGCTGCTGAGTTGGTAAAAAAAAGAAACCACAAAAGCCAGAAATTCGGCGTGGGCGTTCAGGCGTACAGTTATCAGAGTCGTCTTCCAGTAAGGGAATTTTTAATGTTATTATTACCGCTGTCAGTTATGTTGAAATTTTCCCTTTTCCGCTGATATTTGTTGCGATTGTAACGGATCATGAAAGTACATTTTTTCAGGAATGTTAACCTCTCAGATTTTGTGCTGCTCAGAACGGTTTATTGTTTATGATTTACTTACTTTTTCTTTTTAAATGAATCACTAATATGCATAAATCACACCGTTTTCTAGGTACACCTCGGGATGTGAAACCACTGATCAATCACAGTTTCAGGGGTAGTTCAGCGGAAGGTTTATCGAGAAGTCCATCCACAAGTGAGGTTGGAAAAAAAAGAACTTTTTGACAACATTCTGTTTCGAATTTCTTAGTCAGCTGACCAATCAACTAATTTTCTAACAAGATAATGAGATATTTTTTAGAAATTTCTTTAGGCAGTATCAGTTCCTGAAAAGTTGAAAGCTCTGCTAGAAAATGATCATCGTTTAGTTGAAAACGAGCTGAAGTTACCGCGTTTACCTTGCCGCTCGACTGTTTCAAAAATTATGAAAGAGGTGAAATGTTAAGCGTTACTTCTTTAGTAATTTTACTAACCAAAATCATTAATTTTTGAAGAGACCCAGAGGAAATTAAAGTTACTTTTGATAAAGTTAAATTAAAATTGGCTTCCAGAAACCTAACAGTTTGAATGTTGCAGTTCCGTTTGTTTTTTGACAAAATTCTTTTAACACGGCCAAAATTTCTAAGGAAACGGGTTAAGATTAAGGGGAAAATTATGTCAATTGCTGTGCATCATTTGCCCGTCCACTGCAGTATGTTATGCACGTACGCAAGCTGGATGCCGTGTGCTCAGAAGTTAAAGTGCATAAAGGACGAGCACGTTATTGGAAGGGTGTCGTGGCGGCGTTAGATGAATGTGCAGATAACATGAAAGTAAGCGCTTATGTAATATATTTCTAAAGCTAAATCAAGTTATCGATTAGATTCAAAGTTCTACGAATTAACAGGAAGATAAAGGTACTATTTAACATTACTGCTTGCGTAAAAAGTAAAGATGCTGCTTTCTGTGAAGATCAACATTTCTGGTTCACTGTCGAGTATTCTGCCTGAATGTAAATGTATGTCATTGAAGAATTGCGTGACTTCTTACGCACTTTCTAGTTTTCATAAGTTTTTTTTGCCCTAAAAAATCAACTGTTTTGGGTTATTACTTTTTATGCCTCATTTTCAGAGCTTAATGTTTTAGAGTTTTTTCGATCTGGTTATAGCATCTGACATATTGTACCCAAACGAAAAGTTGCGTCACAAGGATTTGACTGAGGGAACTTCACGAGTCATTCATTTGTACAGTATAACAGGTAGACGAGCGGTTATTACATATACTTTTGTAGTTTAAAGACCATTATATTTTAGAGAGTTGCTTTCTGTTTAATAACTTTTTGACGCCAAATCTCGAAATTTAATGTTTTTAATGAATTTCAGATCTCTTGAATGAACCAAAGAAAGGACTTCGTGCATCGGAATACTATGGATTTATTTATTTGCTTCGACTACTCATTAGGTTTCCAGAAATGATTGAGTGAGTTATCGGAATTATTTAATACAAACTCTCATTTCCTTAGAAGAATAAGATTTCCCCCCGCAACCCTGGATACCTATTTCTGGTTGATCTTAATTCATTCTAGGTTTATGCTATGCGACAGTGATTCGAAAGAGATTTTAACTGTTTTTGTCCAGTCATTTGTTCGTTATTTGGGGAGCAATTCCGAGAAATTTTTCGATCCAGAGCTGGACTATGAAACCGTCACTGAAGAATACAAGCTGCGTATCATGCAGAGCTCTAAAATTTAGCTGCGGTTTTATTGGTACAAATTGTTATATATTCTCAGCAAGTAATTGCAGATTGTAAACATTTTTTTGATTCCCATATCCTTTTGAAATAGAATTCTTCTGCGACTGCTTGTCGTATGTTCATACCGGTAATGATGTCAAGCAGTAAGGAATATTGGTTAATGGATGGTGGGATTAGGGTGATGTGTTACCAACTGGTCATTTAACTGCATGCATTACATCAGCTTAACTATAGGGCCTACACTTTTCCAAACACGAGAGGGAATAAATTATGGGAATATCTCTTAGGGATGAATAGCGACGACCATTCAAAGATTAATATTTCATAACCTTTCAAGATTCAAATTCGAAAAGTGTTTTACAACTCAACACTTGTAAATCCCCACTGAAAAGCTTGTTTTTGTTTTTAACTGTCCAGATTTCTTTTCAATGTTTTTAGGGACGTTTTACATTCATTAAATTAATTTAACACTTAGATGCTATGGCAGTACCTTATATATCCGTGTTGTCTTCGCATATGTTCACATGTTTTTTTTGGATATATTTATACTACCAACACTTTTGTATAAAACATACGAACAAAGTCAGTAAAACTCAACAAGACTCATAAAAAGTGTTCAAAAAGCCAGTGCAATAATGCATCCTATTCATTAGATGTATTTCTCTCAAGAGACTTTGCTCGGAATATGTCGCTCTTCGCGGATCTAGAAAAAAAGTTACAGGTGTGGAACATGCGAAGATTTTGTTCTAACAAGTGTGCTTCAGTGCTTTGCTTTTGATCAGTTAACTTCGTATATGCATCTCGTAACATAATGTAACAGATCTCACGTAAATTTTTTAGTCTTCTTGATAACGAATACGTAAGGAAATCGGCCGAGCCCGAGTTTCATCAGCGATAAGAAGTTCGTCACCGTTTATCAGACCAAGATCTATAAACAATTATTTGAGGTTAGGTAAGACTGTTAAAGCTCTACTTAAAAGAGTCTTTCTATGATAACATCAAATTTGTCTCGTGCAAAGTGTCTTATGTCTGTTGTAAATCTTTTGAACAGATGTCCTTAAACTATTTGGTCCCGAACTATATGGAATATAGACTTCAAATTCATTTTAACCGAACCAAAAAACTCGCCTTTCAAAGTTCTAGACAAATTGGCATTGCTTATATTAACCAGTTCAGGTAACAAATCGCTTTTCATATATAACTTCTCCTTTGCTGTTTGTACTGATGGATTACAAAGCTGGCTACAAAACAAACGAGTAGAGTGAGTTTTTTCATAAGGTCAAAGTTTTTTTCGTATTATTTCCCATTTGATCTTCGACTTCCTTCAAGCGCCAGAATGAGACGAAAGCAAGAGGCAAATCCTCTTAAATAAGGAGTCAACTTCACCAACTGATGCTGAAGTTTACTCTTCTCTTGCTAAGTATCACTGTCAATGGAAACAGAAAAAATATGAATTACTCAGGAACACTTACTATCTTTTTATAATTTCATCTAGCAAGTAGCGCAGTGTTTCCGTGGCAGGTACATCTAAGTATTGTGCCTGTTCACCACATACTAGGCAATCTAGCTAAAAAAAAATTTCTATTTGCATCAAGGGAAAAGTAAATATCAATAAAATTTTCATTAAAAGCAATTAATTTTAAAATTTACCAGTAAAATGTAATGAATAAACTGAAAGTTTGTCACCTACTGTCGGCTTTTAGCCAAATATGCACAGTGTATAAAAATCCGTTTTACCAGAAAATTTATCATTAATGAATATAAGCCCATGTAAGAATTACTGCCTTACTCTTTTCTCCAATTCGACAACTCCCATGAAAGCTCCGTCGATGTTGGTAAAATTGAGGTAATTTTGCATCGGACAGGAAATGCTGTAAAAAAAAAAAACAACGAAGAAAAACCGTTAAGAACAGCTCGAAAGCATTAGTGAAAATTTTTCAAATTGAGGAACTTACTTCGAAGCTAATTTCAAAGCCTCCAGTGCGCATGATGCTGAAATATCTGATGTTTTCAATATACTTATAAACATCATGTATACAGGTGATGGATGCAAATAATGGTCTACATAAACATTACTATATGCAAGTAATCACTTGTAAAAATCACTGCTTATAGATATACTTCACTGTAAGTAGAGGGGGAGGAACTCACGATACATATAAAAAAAAAAGAGAAAAAACGACATTACCAGCAATAACAGCATTGGTGGAGGCTACCGCAGGGATTATTCGTTTCAGGACACCTTTTGTGAGCCTTAAATCAACCCCCTTGATATTGTATTTATTAGCTCTATTTAAAGCAGCTTTAAACACCCATTCCACATGTTCCATATTATCAGTATCCATCGCTTCACCTGAATACGATACTCTTAATACTCTTAACCTACATTCTCCATATACGTCATTTATTTCGTGCAATTTTTGAGATAATGGTAGCATCCAAAGTGAAGTGCCATATTTAGGTCACAAATAAATGAAGATACTACTTTGTACCAAGAATCGGAACATGAAGCTATCAAAGCAAACCACTGAAGGGTTTATCTGTATCCCACTGTATTACTTTCACATATTCGATGCAATGTTCAGGAAGCCGAGGAGTGTTTGCTATCGTACACATAGGAAAAGTGTTCTGTAAATAAGGAATGCAAGAATACGGTGCTCACAAGCAGAATGATAGCTATAAATGGATTTGAATTTCAATTAAATAGCACATACAGATCAGTTATGTGCAAGACAATGAGTATTATAGCAATAAATCTGACTGCAATAAATCTAAATTATAATGAATTTCTAACCTGTGGTGGGTACAGATCAACAGTACATTCGATGCAAGCAGTCATCGTCGGCAATATTACTCGAGCATTGCCCTTAAATCCTTCTGTGCCACCATCAATTAAAGGTATGATACCTGTTGGACTGCAATCCGAATCGAATTCCACTAAGCTCACCTATTTTTAATTAAGTTATGAAGTAGATGCTATAACGATGATAAAACAAATGGGTTATTCAGAATGAACTCTTCACAATTTCAACTAAAATAATTTACCAGCATTCAATTATAAATTCAAGATCAGTTCCGTGAAATAAATGAGAAAATCCAACCAATTTAGCATTAAGCCATCTTCTTGCAACAACAGAATCCAAACCACAAATAATAATGTCGAACGATCGATAAAACTGGTCATCTTTATCCTGTATCTTACAGTTATGACTGCAAACAACTACTTTTTTTTTGGAAAAAATAATGAAACTATACTAGTATATTTCATAAACGAAATCTTAAATGCTCATGCTACTTCTAAATGTTTTGATATCACTGCTCTTTTTTCGATATCATATAACAACTCCTTGTTTCTAATAAAACATACGCGACTACAGAACAATCCGGGATTCGTTTTCGGATGAACGCTGCCGCGACCTTGGCTTTTGATTTACCAACATCAGTTTCACTGAAAATAAAGGGAATGAAGAAATATAATAGTAGATGAGAGACTAAAAAACTGTCAACAAACGAAATTACCGTCTTACTAGAACTTGGATTATACGTTAGTTTTGTTTCGAATTTGAAAGACCACAACAAAAAAATTTAGAACAAACCGAAAAAGAAACTGCCTATTCAGATTGGACAATTCGATCGTATCCATATCGATCACTTCGATTTTTCGAAAACCAGATAATGCCTGAACATATTCCATAATTTTATAACAAACGAAAAATTATCTGATTAATACAGTCCCATCAGTATGATGTGGCTATAGTTATCGACGGAAATACATACCAAATCTTTCAGTAGTTCACATCCCAATCCACCAGCTCCGACCACTAACACATGACAGTTCTGTACTGCTTCCAAATTCTAAAAGATAATATTTTAAATCATACACAGAAAATCTTCAAATGTTGATACGAAAAAACAGAAAACGTAATTTCACTGCACTAAAACAAGGTAACAGTGTAAAATTAGAGATGATAACCTTCACTCCTGGTTCGAAAGCTGGATGGGCAAAAGCTGATTTCCCATCGGTGAGACGTCTCAAGTCACGCCATCGTTCGTTTCGAAATTTATCAACTGATACTTCTTCCATCTAAAAGTATAGGTCCCAACAAAATGAAAGTGATAAAAAAATTTTTCGCTATGATCTCAAAACTTTTCCATCACTTCCATCTGTCGAAAACTGCTTCCACTCTATGATTCCTATCAATCTGTCGGAAAAAACGAAATATAGGGAAACTATTGAATATTAACGCTTTTTCCACAGTTATCATCGCTTTACTATCTTTTCATATCAGCCATGAATATGATGAATAATCAAGCTGGGAAATTATTTCAGCAATATAAACGGTACGCGTTCAAACTAAATAATTTCCTCTTTTGTTCCTTTTATCAGCACATATTATGGATTCCTTTGGATGGCTGCTCCTCAAGCTTATCTCTCTCGGCTTAACGGTAATTTGCAATTTATGTGATTCAGTTAAACGAACTACATATAGGTGCGGTATTACCGATCACGTTAAGGTTTCCTGTTCACTAATCTTCTCGATTGAATATTCACTTAGCATTTCTGTCGTAATTTATTAAAGAATTTACCTCACGGAGACAATATCTAAGAAAAATTTCCAATTTTTCTGGTGAATGATCGATAATTTGATGAGCAGATTTTAAATAAGAATTCGAGATGGTCTAGTAACTGCCGTAAGAAAAATATTCGTTTGTAAGCGAAGAAGGTAGCAAGTATCCCATGTAAAGTTGCGCCACATCATTGTGAGACGCTTATAACTTTTTCTGCAGATCGGAATAACCCGAGCATAACGTATATCCGTCCATAACAAACATTCTAGAAATAAATAGGGAAATGATGATGTCTTAGTACTTTGATGATTTCATATAATCGCAACTCGGTTTTGATGAGTATCAATAAATTGCAGAGTAATACATCGGGAAATTGGCTGTTTGTGATGGATGCCAAAAAAGAAAACCAATGGATGCAACAAACAATACCTCTATGGATTTGTAAATAAACAATATATTAATTTTCTTGTATAGAGGCTATTTTTATGAGAAGCCTCAGGTGTATTTAAAACCTAAATATTAAAAATTCGAAAAGAAATCTGGAATAATTCCTTGATCTCTCGCAGAGTAATGTGAAATATGGATCAATGTGTTTTCTTTTTAGCACCAGCTTATTCAAGACGTCATTGGGAACAACTGGCGGATCTATTACTTGAGGTTCAAAACAGAACACAAATTAAATTTCGGTCTTTTATCAAAGAACGAGATACTGATTATGTATCTGTGAAGATAACTACTTACGGTTGTTACGGACTTCTCGGATATGGAAAAGGTGGAGAAAGAGTAAGTCATATATCGTGCAAAGTTAGCTGTGGTTAAAATTGGAAAAGTTTTCAACTCATGAAATTTTGTTGCAGTAGAAGTATTGAGAGATAATGTAAGGTTTTCTATTTGACAAATTTCATGTACTGTTAAGGTATATTCAATAGATTTATATTCGTGATTTCTTTAATTGCAAAATTCCTTTCCATTTCTTTGTGCATTCTCGTTCACAAAACCAATTCATCTATTTCATCGTATTCAGCATTTTAATGAGATATGAATGTTTTCTTTAGTGGATCAATCTCTACGATGAATGTATCGAGTACAGCCACATTGTTCTGCGATCGATATATCAAATTCTTGGATTTCAAATGATTGCAATGAAAAAACCGGAAAGAAATATATTGTATTCTGGCTCTGACAGCAAAATTGATGTAAGTCACCCAAATATTTCATATTTCAGGAAAGTTCTCCATAGCTTTCTCCGTGTATGATACTGGTTGAGCTTTCAATGCAATATGCGACAGTATAGTATGGAAAATGATGGGGTGTTCGAAAGTGTGCCACGTTGTGCAAAAGTCATAACTGGCCAAAGCCATAAAAGAAACCTAACAAGGGAGAAAACCATCATAAATTCTTAGCGAGGAAACTACCACGAATTCTAAGCGAGAAATGCGAGGAACATGTCATCATTAAAATCATACTATGTCACCACTGAGAAGACAAATTCTTTCCAAGCCTTTTTGTTTTCTAGTCTGCTTGTAACAAAGTAAATTTGTAGTACCTTAAATTTGTGATATGGAACAAACTTATTGTGGATTCAAAAAAGATAAAAAAACAGACCGACGAGGATGAATGCATTGGAGCGGAAACTGCAACAAGTATGATGTCTCACCAACCGAATATGGAATTTGTAAGATTTTCTTCTTTCTATCTTTCTCTGAATGACAAATACAGTGTGTCACATTCACTGAAACTATGTCTTCCCGATTAGAATGACTCAAAGTCCTAATTACAGTTTTACTGGAGCAAAGTATACGAAAATCTTATTCATTCCTATCCTTATGTGGATAATCTACTCTTTGGATATGTATACAGAAGGACTAGAAATATAACCAACCATGATATCTTTCACATAAACAGAATTTACAAAAAGGTAACTTCGTTTAAATATATCGCGGGACTATTTATACTGGAAATTGAAGATTGTGGCACGGGTAACAAAGGTAGGACATCAATCTCCACTTATGCCCGCCAAATCCAACCCTGCCTCGAACTTACAAGTTGCCCATCTCCATCTCTCATCAATTCCAGGGAATGAGCGAGTTCTGTCATGAAAATATTTTGTCTCAGTCTACTGGTAATTGAATTGAAGTTTTTTTTTAATGTTATTTGCAAGGGAAGCAATTTACCAAGTGATGATAGGTCAAAGCTGGATATCGATTACTGTATGTAACCTATTATCTTTAGTCTTATCATCATTTACACGTGTCCTTATCACCTTTTATATCCATCCTCGTCTCTGTATTACCCTTGCAATCGTCTACTCTCACTTTTCAGTCTTTCCCTCTTACTTTTACTATCAATTCCAAATTTAGGCCAATAAAGATCCGAATTATCAACTGCACAATTTTGCAAATTCTTCAACGTATAGGGCTGAAAATTTTCAAAAAATGCCCAACGTTGTCATTGGTTTGGCTGATTTGTATTGTGAAGATAGCCTTGTTGATTGTGATTTTCTGCACAGATCTCGAGGTCATTGCAATTCATTTCAGGAATTCAGGTCTCATTTTTAGAAATACTTGCGAAAAAAGCTTGAGGTTTTTTTGCTATGGGATTTTTTTTCATAAATGATCAAGAAATATAAATGAAAATTCATTTTCCTTTCCGTTTTCTTCTGAGAAAATTTCATTACAGGTATGTATTTTGTGGTCGAAGGTATATATTATATTATAGGTATATATTATGTGCTCGGAGGTACATATTATATTACAGGTATATATTATGTGCTCGGACTTGTGGAATGTGCGGTATAAGCTTGCGATTGTATTACATCAGCACGCATCATCCATTTGTCTATGTTCAGGTTAATTTTCCGGATTTTCCCTTCAAATCGATTTCCTTTTGCTATCATATGTCTTGGATTTATGGGGTATTAACTCATCAGTGTATCACCAATACTGAAGTATTAGAGTACTTTTTATTATCGGAATGAGAGTGGCACTTAGTGTCTGAAGCAACTGATTGTCTCGTTTTCTCCCATCCTCCTATCCTTCCTGCGCACTTTTTCCTGAGTATTGTGGTTATACCACAAAAATTTCCCATTGTTTAATTGAAAGAATCTCACATCAGAAGCCACTGTTATTCCGATAATTAGCGAAGCTCTAAAAATCAAACCTGGAATCCGAAACGCAGATGAGCTATTAAAATAATTAGTAATTTCAGGAAAAAACAGAGCAGCAACTATCAGTATGCAGCGATGACCTGCAGGCTGCTCTAAACGGGACATGTAGTTATAACAATTTGCACAATTGTTTATTTCCCAGATTTCGGGAAAAATGTCGCAGAAGTTGTGGTTATTGTCCAGAACAAAGTCGAGTTAACTGCGAATTTGTAAGTCTTCCATAAAATCATTGCAACGAAATGAAATATATTGCGCTGAATTGATTCATGCAATTTTATATCTGTCGCAAATTTAATGTACTAACTTATTTTTCATTATTTGTATAACAGGTAACAGCTTTAAATGCAGAATATTTGTACGACCATCCGAATTATAATTATCGTTGCCAATACATTCGAGCCATCTCGAATAAAAAATGCGAGGCGGTACGGTCTATCCTTATTTTTGAGTTTCTTGTAGAAGATTAAATTTTGCTTCCTTTTGTCAATTTTAGGGGAGTTTTAAGCACAGTCTTCTTTTGGGAAAGAAATTCCTGTTTAAAGTGTTGCAATGAGTAATTACTGGTATTAAAGTCTTATATGGATTAATAAGAGGGAAACAAAAATTTTGACTGAATCAGGAGATAAGGAAATTGGATATTGAATGATTCATGGATTAATAAATCTTCTGATGATTCAGCAAGTTTAAGTAGAAAAGATAATAGATGATAAGGAAGCATTTGTTGCTTTGAGGTTACGAAACGTGTTACGACTAAACAAACAAACTTTGCGACATATTTTTAGGATGAAAAAGTTGCAATAAATCCGATTACGGATTGCATGCTATCTTGTGGCCATTACGCATGCTCTCAGGGTGATATAGAAGAAGATATGGGCCATAAGCAAGTTCCTGTGATGAAATTATATGTACCGCAAAAGGATTGGCAATTTGCGACTTTTGGATCGTTAAGTTTTGGTGAAACTAAGAATCCGTCATTGGATTAATTGAGATTAAACTTTGATCTAAGCGTAATTCCAATAAATTTAATTTCGTCAAAAGAAACATAAACCCTACACAATCCGTCCTACACAATCCATTTCTACCATTATCTTGCAAATACTTACTTCAGCTCGCTTTATAACGTATAAGCGTGGCAAAGCATAAAAGGGAAATACGTGTCGTGCGCGCATTTTATGCATTTCATCGTAATATATAAATATTGCTTCAACACTGAAACTCTTATTCGTTAATTTTGGCACTATTTTTTGCGGCTGTCAAGAAACAGGATTGCAAAGATTGGACTTTTTCTTGTTTGATACAGTAGTAAAATGTATACACAACCAAACGATGTCATCTTGTTGATCGTTGGAATAGTATTGCTAGCGGTTACCGTTTTCATACAGTGTGCAAGTGGAAAACGTACAAAGAGGATAAAAAATTTGGTATAGTATTTCTCAGTAGCATTGTTTTTCTTTCCATCAAAATATTCAGGTTGTTAAAGAAGGATTGCTCATTTATTCATCACATATAGTAAGCAATCTAATGATGAGAAAAAGCTCAGACTGTCATCTTCAACATTTTGGCATCTTCAATTATTGGTCATAGATGACTTCACCGGCAAGTCACCATCTGTGACCTATTGATTTAATTCATTTAGTTAGTTATATATGTTCCAGTCAAATACCAAATCAAACGTAACGCAAAGTTCCATATCCTCAAGTCAATCTCTGGAAAAAATCAGCAAACTGCCAAAAAACAAGTTGGAGGCAAGCGTCGAGAAATCATCGTCATTCCTATCCAAGGAAAAAGAATCAGTAAATCAAGTAATCAGTAACTATTAGTCTTTCCTCTTTCGGGTGGATCGATGCAGGTAACCAAAATAGCACTAGCTTTGAAGTAATTAAAAACGATTCAATTGAGCAGGAAAATTGTCATATTCTTGTTTATTTAGAAAAAATCAGTTAGCAGCCAAAGTGATCAGAAAAGCTTTCAATCGAGAAAATCAGATCAATCAAATGAGAAGGAATGGGAAAAAGGAAAGAATGATGATAATACATTTGCTAAGATACCTGAAAAGTCATCGCTCATTGTAATACCCATGATAACTGCTGAGAAATCGAAAAATACAGAAGGTGCTAAACTTGCAGATGTAAGCCGACAAATTTTGGAAGCACATTAAGCTATTTAAATTACTTTAATACTATAAACATCAATTGTTCAAAATCTTCATATCATATTATAGGAAAAGAGGAATGTATGTCTAACTGCAACCCAAACAAATCTGATATTCCTAACGGAAAACCATTTAACCGATCTCTTACAACTCCTGAATCATTCGCAAATTTCTTTTGGATAACAGCATATTCATTCATCCTGTCAAATTTTTTGAATCATATAAAAGACTCAAATCTCTGATTCTTCTTTTTTTTCTAAATTGCTCAAATTAAGAAGAAATACTTGGAAAATTTTGGCATCATTGAACTAAAGCAAAATTTTTAAATCAACTATTCAAAAAAATGATTCGTAGAAGTAAATTAGCTCAAGTCATTTGTATCATCAAAATTTTGAAAATGACAAATTTATCGGATCGACAAATCATCCCAATTAGCTAAACTAATTCAATCAGCTGTTTTAATTAACTGTGTTCCAGCTAGCTTTGTTTCAACTAACTACCTAAGCCTGAATTGCTCTAAATTCTTTGGTATAATTAATTTTGATCCCATCGAACAGAGAAAATACAATGATTTAAAACTTTTTAGGGAAAATCGATATCTAATGAGGAAACTGAAGGAGCAATGTTCAAAGAAAAAGAGGTTAGTTGATTTTTAATTTCCTTAAAAAAAAGAAAAGTCTATGAAATATTTTCCAGGCCATTGCTTTTGTTGTCTAAAACATTTCATTACTTGATTAAATTAATCATTTATTTTCAGCAAAATACTCAGGAAAATATTGGCTTAATGGATGAAAAAGGTGACGGCTTCTTTTTCAAAGACTTTCTGGAATATCTTGCAATTCCAAAAATTCCTGCCCGAAATTTTCTCATCACCGAAACTGGCTATTTATTATTAGTCAGAGAAAAACGATCAACAATGTTTTTGATAAAATATATGATATATAGAGGAACAACAGCTGACACTTGAACCCAAAAACCTTCGATGGAATGGTGAGGGAGGTTATCAGACAGTACAGCTGCGAAACATAACAGAAGACCGTTTGGCCGTTAAAGTATGGCAAATATTATTTGATTCCAAATATTAGAAGTAAAGATATTTGGAGAAAGGAAGTGAAGATATATCCGGAATATTAATTTCATTTTTGTTAATTCTTCCAATAAATTTCACCACATTTCGTTTAATTTAGGACGATTCCCAACAGTGTAAAAAGATGAATAGAAATTTAATGAAGGGACGAGTTTTAACGAAAGATATTCAAATGGTGCATCGTCATCTTTAGGCTAAATGTTCCGATAACCATTTGTACCGGGTGAATCCTGTATTTGGCTTCATTGATCCAGGCCAAGAATTAAAGGTGGATATTATACGGCGGAAAGCTGTACCAAAAGTGGATAAGATGATTTTCGTCAGTGTTCGCGTAAGTTCCATCTTTATTTTCATTTCTCATCGTTCAGTGATCAGTCTTACTTCTCATTCGTACCTTCCTTCTATTCAATTCGAATATTTTCAAAAGAAGACGAAAAGTTAAAATTTGAAATTTGAACAAATTGTTTGCTGCTAGTATATTTCATATTTCAGGCTAATAAGGATGACATTTTTCCCAAGCCATTATTCAAACGTTCAAAGGATAGTCAAAAGATGGCCATGTTACCATTGCTTATCACTCGGGTTATCTGATCGAATCAAATCAGATGGACTGAATTGAATTGGATCGGATTAGATCAAATTAGAATATCTCTTCTACTATATTTTCATCCTCTCACTATTACAATTGAATAAACTGCTTTCAATGCGTCCCACTCCCCATGCATTTGATAGAGGAAGATTGTTATTACCGAATGGTCGGTCTTTCAATGTTGCATTGTGGACTCAGACGCGCCGTACGGTTGTGCGTGCAGTACGCACTGCTTCTAGGGTTGACTGGTCAACGGTCAATATTGGGGATATTTGTATCCTTTTGGGGCCAAGGGTCAAGGGATTTGATGCTTGCGTCAATTCATCCTTGTACCCTTCATTTGCCTCTTCACTAGAATGCATGGTCTTTTTCACTGGCTGAGTATTCCTATTCGGTGAAATATTTTTGTTTTTTGACGTACTTATATTTCTGTCTTTGTTTTTTCTTATTTCACGTACATAACGTTCTGCACCACATATTCAACATATATGCACATTTAAATTCAAAAAATATTCCCACATATTCTCTATTTTTTAATGATTCGTGTGCTCTGCATCTTATATGTTTAACGTACTCAAACAATCGGCATCATCTGTTTAGCGTTCTCTAATTTCATGTTTCTCCTTTTTTCTTAAAATGTATGTTTTTCAGGGGATATAAAGTTCTAGAGCCGTTATGGCTGCAGCTTCACCTTTGCTGCAATATCCAACACCGGATATAGATGTTTCGAGCTCATCGACATCGTTGCAACCTGCAAGCTCTTCACAGTTTCCACAGGTTGTTCCTTACTTCCAGATATTAATAGATTGTTCCTTTCAGATATTTGTGTAGTCCATAACTTGTTTCTTCAAGGATATACTGTTTCAAGAGTTTCCTTGCAGACAAGTTCTAACATCTCTAATCAACAACAGATTGGAACCAACAACCAATATCAACCGTATTACCTACGACCGGGTTATCGATTCAAGACAAATTTGGTTCGTGATAATCATACATGCGCTTCGTCATCTGTTTGTTGATGTTTTAGTAGTTAGAACTGACGGCTGTTTCCGTTATACAAACAATGACATTTATAACAAGTATCTAAATGTACTTTCAGTTAAAGTCTGATTTTTTTCCAACAGCTTATGTGGTTATTGCAGCAACCGGTATTGGATGTTGCTGATGGTCCGGGTAGGCGATTGCGCAAAAATGTTGCAAATGTCCGACGTCATATCGATTATATTGCTAATGTATTAAATCATTTTGAGGTATGTTTGCACCCAAATACCAACCTCTAATATTGTATTTGGCTAGTTTGTACCATGCGTTATCTAATCTCATGTTGTAAATTCGGGTTCTTATCAATAGCTTTATTGCGAGGAAATTTTTTTTATCATTGTTGAGTGAACTGTAGTTTCCGTCATTGGTTGTGATTAAAGTTCCTTCATTTATGATATACTAATCCTCTTTTCAACATTTATAATTCATTCCTCATATTGCTGAACAACTTATACCAATATCTGGGAAATCTTGGAGCTGAGGTAATAAATTGCTTATATGTTCTGTGAAATGTCTGTCAATAGTACATACCCTTTTCAATTAATAGGTTAAAATTGGTTGTACTGATTTAACGTAGTATCGAAATGAAAGTAGGAAGGAAATATGAATGTGAAGGAATTCTTTAGAATTGGTTTTATTGATGAAATAGTTGACATGTGAAACGAATTTTTAGGCTCGATTGTGGCAGCATGATGTACGTGGTCGTGTGGCCGTTCAGCCAGACATACTATACCAGAATTCTGCAGTTCCTCCAACCACTATTGTAGACAAGACTATTGACTGTGTTTTAAATAAATTTGTGCGAGCTGCAATGAATAAAGTTAAATGTCCTATTTACAGTATTTGCGTAAGTTATTAATTTTTGCATGTAGTTTTAGTCTTCACTCTGGATTGTACTGAATTGATATAATCGAGATTTTCTCACATTATAGCTATGAGATAAGTCTAGGATATCTTTGCTCAGTTTACATCATTTTAGTAATATCATGGAGTGGTTTTCCACTTTTTTAATTAAGTTTTTTGTCTTAGTTACCGTTGACATACAACGATGTTTAGTGTTAGACTCCTGCAAGTCAGTGATTTATAAGTTTCAGTGGACACCAGAGGGTAAACGGCTGATAACGGGTGCATCGACGGGCGAATTCACTTTATGGAATGGTACAGCTTTCAATTTCGAGACAATTCTTCAGGTATTTGTGGCAGCTTTTACCGTCCATTTCTCACTGTATCGCGTTTATTCACTTTTGTCTCATTCATTCATTTCCATGCGTCACCGTATGTTATCCATTACTCCTTGTTATACGTCGTAAGTCACTAATTCGGCCTCAAATAAAATGAAATAAAGAAAAGGCTGAAAAGAGTTTGTGAGTAGAATTATTTTTATTTATAACATAAATGAAAATAAAGGATGATCTAGTCGGCACTGCCTTTTTTACAAATATGCCGATATTTTCCTGCTTTGTATCATTATGAAGCAGATAAATAATTTATAAGGCGCTGCTTGTTGACAGGTTGCATTGCGGTTATCAGCGAGAGTATTGGGCTTATCCTCCAGTACCTACGTTATTTCTGCATTTTGTAAAATCAATTCAAAATTGACTCATATATCAAATGGTTGACTTCTTCAAAACATTAGCGACTCGTTAAAATCTCATGGGATGTTGAAATGTAAAAGCTATAAGTTTACCAGTTAAAGTAGGTCATTTTAAACTTTTCTGTTTTGGCCAACTACGCGATGGTCAAAAAAACATTATGACTTTCTGGCTTTTTCATAATTTGGCTTAGTGTGGGTCGCATGGATTATTTTGCATCACAGTGATGAACGAAATGCTAACCATGTATTTACGTTTATTCATAAACTTTGTTGAGATAGATTTATTAAGCCTGATTATATCCAATAATTTGCTGCAGTTTGGAAGGGTAGATGGTAAAGCATAATACAATTCTTCCTGTTGGGAATAAAGTGATGTTACCCTCAGTTGAAGTCTAGATATCTTGTTAAAAAGGGTCCCATTGTTACTCGGAAATTGGATTGACATTGTGACGACATTTAATGGGAGTATTGAAGGTATATAAGTCACTTGAAGATGGCTCGTTTGTAATTCTTGAAAACATTCTGATTTTCGAATGGACAATTATGATAGCCCTTCAATTTTAATTCTTTAATGATGTTTAATGTTTGCACTTATTGATAGTAGACCTCGCATTTTTTAAGGACAACTTCCCAGCAACATTTCAGCGGTTTCATTTCTTGCACCAGAAAATTTGAATGTTTTGAGATGTTTCATGAGAGGCTTAGAACATTTGTTGCAAATGTATCGACTTATATTGTAACACAGGTTAAGGAAATTCTTAGCAAGTTAGTAGTTAACAAATTAAGATGACGACAAATTACAGATGAACTGTCCTGAAAAAGTACAATAAGAAATCAGGTACCGTTGTGAATGGATGAGTAACGAGCAGTATAGCAATTAGAGGTCTCGAATGTTACGGAAAACGAGAATGTATCCAGTCAGAATATGCTTTAATTTTGTTTTGACTCTTTTGGTCTTTGAGATGAAACAAATTGCATGTCATTGCAGTAATCCAGCATATATATGCATATTAGAATGGAAGGTGACATTGTTCCAAAAAAAAAAAAACTACGGCGAATTATGTAGATTTGCTACGGATTGTTTTTTTTTTTTCTTTTTGTTGATCTTAGGCATTAACATCATTACGTAAATCCAGTTTTATTTTTTTAATCAATAAAAATTCGGTAATTTCCATTTTTATCCACTTGAATAAGTATTTTTACTTTGAACGTTTACATATGATTTCTTACTCTTCCGGCAAGATTATTCATCTTAATCAATTATTTAGGATGAATAGAAGGTTCAAGCTAGTATCGCCAAATAAATTCTTTGTGATACCTTCTATCATTTAATCAAAGATGATATAATTGGAATACGAAAACCAATTGATTGTTGTGCATTCTACATATCGGAGAAGGATTATGTTTTTAATTAGAGTATGAAAGAAAAGCTTTATCAAGGGTCAGAATCCATTAATCTAGACGAGGAAATGATATTTGGAATCAGAGGGTTTACTTTTCAATTAGAGCATAGAAGCGAGGCTTTGTTAAGGGTTAGAATCCATTAATTTAGGCGAAGAAGCAGAATTTGAAATTTCAAGTTCCTTGATTATAATGAAGCAAAAAATGATTTTTATAACTCGCGGCACGAGCCCCTAGAATGTTCTGAAAAAAGTGTCGTTATCTTCATCAATGAAAGCTGTAATATTTTCAGTACTCTCAGTTAATTGGTGTCACTTCCAACTAATTGTATACAATGGGTAAATTAAGCAAGGGAATTAACTGTTGAAGTGCGGTCTTCCAGGCCCACGACACAGCGATCCGTGCTCTAAAATGGTCACACAACGATCAGTGGCTTGTATCAGCGGATCACGACGGTTTCGTGAAATATTGGCAGCCGAATATGAACAATGTGCATATGTATCAAGCGCATAAAGATGAGGCTATCCGATCTATCAGGTTGGTTATGTATTTCGTCATTTAAATTGAATCAACTTTTATTTTTGAAAGATCTAGGTTTGATTCCGATTCGACTGATGTTCGAGTTTTCTCACTACTAGTTTTTAGTTTTGCGCCCACAGATGTGAAGTTGGTGACTGGTTCAGACGATGCTACAGCTCGGATTTGGGATTTTGCTCGATGTGCTGAAGAAAAAGTACTACGCGGCCACGGATCGGATGTGCGCAGCGTTGATTGGCATCCACAAAAGGGTTTGATATGCACTGGATCACGTGACTCACAACAACCAGTGAAGTTATGGGATCCAAAAACAGGGCAGTGTTTATCAACTTTGTGAGTTTTTCCAATTTTTCTGAATTCTGTTCTATAAGGGTCTATATGAAGTTATCTACAAACGATTGATATGTGGCGTTTATTGCAATTTTTGGAGTTTTAAAAAGTTATGGTCGATAATTCGCAGTAATTTTTTTTTAAAATTATTGCCTTTAAGGCATGATCATAAAAACTCAGTAATGGCAGTGCAATGGAATAAAAATGGAAATTGGTTGTTGACAGGATCCCGCGATCATCTGATCAAAATGTACGATATCAGAATGATGCGTGAAATGCATACGTACAGGGGACACAAAAAGGAAGTTACTGGTTAGTTTCCTACGTCCAGTAATTTATTACTCTTTGCTTTCGAAATTCGGATTTTTCCGGAATTTCAGCCTCTTTCGTATTCTATATTTAAACTCATCATTTTTTTGCATTTTACATTATATCATTTTGTAGCATTAGCTTGGCATCCGGTTCATGAGGGTATGTTTGTAAGTGGTGGTGGTGATGGATCACTGGCATACTGGCTCGTAAATAATGACAAGGAACTTGGATTTTTGGAGCATGCTCATGACCAAGCCATATGGACACTTGAATGGCATCCTTTAGGTCATATCCTGGCATCAGGTACATCCCGCTTTAAGCTGAAGTTATATTTACTCCATAAATGGCGGAAACTTTTCGAATATTGTGGTTCAAACATTGCTTAGCCTCTAGACATTCTGTATTTAAATCGGTCGTAAAAAAATTTTTGTATAGGTAAAAAATTCGAGGCTGACCTAACCCAATTTGGAAATCCGGTTTCAAAATTCTGGTCTTGCAGTTATATTTTCCAGGTTCTAATGATAATAACACGAAGTTTTGGGCGCGAAATCGTCCAGGTGACACGCAGGATGATATCTATGGGTTGGCATCGTTTTCTGGGTCAATACCAACGCCGGCAAAGGAAACAAAAACTGAAACTGCTGAGGAAAAGGCGTTTGTCGCCGTTATTCCAGGTGCTACTGAATTGTTTTTCTAATTTTTTTACAGAAATAAAATAAAGCGGTCTTAAAAGTTATATTATTAAACGGTTCTTTCCGGGCAGAAATATGTTGAAACGAAGAGAAAATTCCGATTCGAAATTTCTATTCATTGTATGCTTTTTGAAGGTATGGGCTTGGATGATGACGTGTTCCAAGGGATGCAAAAAAAGGATGCACGAACAACTGTCGGTGGTCCGCCGGTTGGTGGACCTTTATTGTTTCCAGAAGATCCGAACGCACGTCAACAGGTAAATTGATGAGTATCACTTCCGCTGATGAAATCTTTGAGATGCGGTAATATTTTGAAAGTTGGGGCAGTCGACTTTTCCAAGTTATTCCTTGGTTACAATAACAGTGTTATAATTAGATATCATTATACAAATACTGGTGAATATTAAATTAGAAGTGAATTTTTTGTTTTTTTAGACGATGAGTATCGGTGCAAAGAGGACTTTGATCAAGCAGCCTCCACCAAAGAAAGCTCAGCGGCAATTTGAACGAATGTGGAATGTTGCAAAGCCTGGAGCTTCGGGAAACGATGATTATGTCGACGAAGTGCCTGATGAAGGAACGTTCCGGCGGTCCAAAGCTTCCTTGCTTGGGCCACCACCACGCTCGTTATTATCTTCAAAACGTGAAGAAGGTAATCAGTAGATTTTTGAAGCTTTTGGATGGTGCTCCTATTTGTTATCATACTGCAAAAGTATCGTACTTGCGAAAGAATTAACCGTTTTCAGATTTATGCTTATTTTTAATTAGCTAATAGCATGCTGAATAAATGTCTTCGAATAATTACATATTTTTTTATAGTCAAATTTTCAGAAGGCCGATCACCCAGTCCTGGTCAGGACAATAGGAGTAGACGTTCCCAGAAAAATGTTACTCATCCTACTGGGTCAGATCAGGAGGTGGGTTCAGTACCCTTGCAAATGCCACCACCTCTATCATCTGCACCAGCGGTTGTACAACAGTGGCCAAATCCAACAGCATCTCAGCCACCAGTAATACAACAAATTACTCAGCAGCCGAGTATTCTGGTACCAACCGTGCAAAGTATGTTCTTACTAGTCGTATTTCCGCCTTTTTTTTCCTTCTTTGCTTATTTTGATAATTTTTAACCAGGTTAGTTCTTTAGCGATGTCGACTAGAATTTCATAAGCACTGGTACAGTATCTGCATGTTTCCTGCTTGTATTAGTTTAATATTATCAAGTTTGGAAAGTATCTACAGGGCTTCATTTAGTATCTACAGGGGTTTCATTCTCTTTTTTTAAATATCCTATCTCATTTACCGTGTAGGTAGCAGCCTACACGAGACGTTTCAATGACGAACCATCGCTGAAAAATAAGGGCAGTTTTATTTAACGTGAGGAAGTCCTCCAAATGTCACTGTTGAACCTTTTAGTTCCTAGAAATAATCTTTTAATCTGTCTTCTCACTTGTATTACTTCTCCTCTATTGTCGCCGGATTTATGTGCTTCCAGATCGTCAGCGTTATTGAGATGCTAATCTAATAATGCTACTGTCCCGTTTTTCTTAACTTGAAGTTCCGAATATTTTTGTTTCATTTATGACTTATCAACTATTATTTTATTAGTAAATACCGTCCTATTTTTTTCAGCACTAACAGCAGTGGCGCAGATGGGAGCAGCTGGTATACCTTTGCCTGCGTTACCCATGCCACCAGCTATTGGTCCACTCATTTGGCCACCACCAATTCCGGCTAACCTTACACCTTTGGCTGCTGCATCATCGTCATCCGTCCAAAACAGAGTATATTTTCGGAAATGTGCTATACGTAGATATATTTTTCATAAGCCAAATAAAGAAAAAACCAAGTTCATCCATCTTGTAGTAGTTGATATTCTTGTTCTATCCATCTTCTTAATTCTTCATTTCAGGATGTGGACTATCGTACTGGACTTCCTTCTCTCCCAATGCCACCACTTTTACCAGGTAACGGCACCAGTACATCTAATGATGTGGATCTAAGAAATCAGCAACCCTCGTCATCTTCACAATCGCAAAGCTGGCGGTCTAGTGCACAACCAGACAATAAATCAATAAACAGTGATGAAACATCAAGAACTGCCCCTTCCACAGGTTTGTAATCATCATGGATTGTTTCTGTCTACTGTGACAATTTGAATTTGAAAAATAATGATATTGAATTTATGTGTATCAGATCATATATATTTTCAGGTGAAATGAGAATACACGACCCTCGTATAAGAGTCGGGTCTCGAGGAAGTATAGCCAGGAATGGCGATGACGATAGGCCAGGAGGATCTGCACCTGGAACTCAAGTACGCGACCCTCGCAGAAGGCCTCAATTACGTACGCCGGCGGTGCCTAAACAGGTCTATTTGTTGTTGAATTCCAAAGATTTATATAGCATCACTTCCGAATTTGGATTTTATCTCGAATAAATTTAAAAATTGTCCTACAATTCAGAACTTAAAAATTTTGAAAATCATGTAGGAAATTCATGTGATGTTCAGGACGAAGACTTTGATGGTCGTTTCGAAGGTAGCCAAGTTCGACGGCGTGTTTGGATGCCGAATATGAATGAAACTGGAGATGGTAGAGTTGGACCCGGTCAATCAATCCCAATGCGCTATGAATTCAACTGTCCGGCCGGTGATTTTGATGATCGCCTTCAACATCATCAGCAACAGTACCCACCCTATCTACATCAACATTCTGGTGGTGGATTAGTGCGACGAGGGGCAAGCCGAAATCGAATTCATAGAGGAGCTTATTAATTGTTGATATTTGCATCAAAATTCAAATCGTTGACCTCAAACAGTTCACTCGGGGGGAGGGGGGAGGGGGAGGCGGGGGGGAAGGAGGGGGTAGCCAAATTAACTTCTTCAGTAACCAAATCATACCTGTTATTCCGAAGTACGGATTACTTTACGATAATTTTATGTTATCGTTCTAAATTTTCAATATAAATATGGGAAATTTGAAGTATAGAAGTTGTATTTCATCCTATTTCCCTTTATTCGTGCATGATTGAATTCGTCGCTTTTTCCGTTTTATGGCTTTATTGTGTTCTTCTGCACTATTTACTTGGCTGTATGGTAAATTTATGCTGCTTTCTCATTATGATACATAAATAAGGATGTGAAGATAATATCCTCCAGCTTACAAAATCACAAGACCAACTTGAAACTGTCTCTCGATATCAGTAGCATGAAAATGTCATCTGTCCAATGATTTATATTAAAAATATTTTATAATAAAAACGGAAATAACAGATAAAAGTTCAAATGTTAGGAAGTGCACTCAATACTCCGTAATTTTGAGCGGCCTTGGAGGTTTCTGGTGATTTTCTGCAACTCCTCGAGGAAATATTTTAGAATGTTCGAATGGAGTACCAAATAGTGATTGGTCAGTGTGCACGTTCCTTTGCTCTTCATCCGTAACAACCGAACGTCCATCTTCGAGTGCCATTTGCTTTGTCAACATAACCAAACTCTGATGCAACCAGTTTTAATCAATCAACAAAATGAAAATTACCCACTTCTTACTGAGTGTAATTTAAAACGTACTTATTGTTATGTAGCTCAAACATCCATCATATCTATCAAAATTATTACAAAAAGTAGCAATATAACCTTAAAGGATTCCGGTTCGTAGATTGCAAGTTGCGAGATGACAATGTTGTCTAACAGAATATGTGCTTTTGCAAGCATATTCCGAAAGGGTGCATAATCGAAATGATACTCAGCAAGGGCTGCTCTCACTCGTTCTTCTGCATACTACAATCTTCATCAATTACGATACATAATATTTTGAATATACAAAAGAAAGGAAGTAACGCCGAAGAAAACTTACATATTTCTCCAATCTTGGGGCATCTTCACGTTGCATACTCAAATACGTATATAGTTTATTCAATTTCCTTAAACCTCTTCGTACGGTAGTTCGTTGGAAACCATATTGCCACTAAAACATAAGACATCTTTGTGTACACTCGTGGAATGAAGAATCATTAACACCATAATCTAATGTATATTTTAGCATTAACATACTTTAATGCAACCATTCCTCAGTATGACTATAAACTCAACGTACACACCAACACTATCATAATTTTATTATAACAGAGAAGTTTTTTAATGTAAAACATACAGCAACAAATCTCCTAAGCTGTTCACGTTTCTGCCATACATCTGGTTTGATTTTGACATGGAATGGATGATATGGGCTATTGATGATGCGACGCAAGAAGTTGACCTCACTTAACCTCATCTTGTCTTGATCAAACCAATCATAAATAGTCCGTCAACTCCACAGCCATACCTTCAAGAACACAATACTATTAAGGGTAGTTTATTGTCCGACTAGTTATCACCACTACGAGGCCGCGTGAAATTGTGATTTGTTAGTTATGAAATGGGTAGTCAAACGGATATGATGGTTTGATTGTTGAGTATGGAGAGTGGTCAGTCTCCGTCACCGGTGTACGAGCAAGATAACGAAGCGGATTTATCCTTGTGAGTTGCATCTTTATGGTTCCGCTTTTCAACTGGATAAACAAGATAACTTTTCTGACTTCAGGAGAGTGTTAAGCCATTCGATGGAAGAGCCAGAACCATGCTCCTTCAACTTACGTCTCATTGAAGCTGTTCGTAGTAGCCGTTGTCTCTATGATGCCAAAGATCGTCTGTATCGCTCAGCGGATCATAAGATCAAAGTGTGGAATCGACTTGTACAAATATTACAATTTGATGGTGTTGTTGGTTTATTTGTATTGTTCTGATTTTATCATTTACAGTGACAAATACTACCGTATTCATGAGAGAATATCTCTCTGGCAGCCATTGAAGCTGTGAATAATTTTATTTGATTTCCACCTGCATATGTGTTGTGTGAGTCGTGGCAGAATATCATGGTCGGTATAATTTTCAAGGTCATTAAGCTATGTGGTTCATTAAAAATATTATCCCAGTCTTTGTGACATTTCGAGTAATGGTGATAGAATATCATGATGCTTTATCACGATTCTTACCATCGATCAAGTTTTATTAAAAGAAATTCCAGTTGTACATTGGATGGAAGTAAACTTGATCAGTTCTTTTTTTTTTTCAATGAACTTAATTGATGGGTTTTGAGATATTGAGAGTGTTGAGGACGTTGAATGTTGGGTAATTTTTCAGGTGATGCACGTACTTTATATAATCGTTGGAAACAGTTGCGTGACAAATATGGGAAAGAAAAAAAGAAGTTAAAATACGGTGCGGAACATACTGGATGGCAGTACTTTAAGCACTTGACCTTTTTAGATCCACATATGATTGACCGACAGCAGCAACAATTTGCTCGTGCTAAAGACGGCAAAGGAGTTATGCTTTCACCCGGAGGAGTTTGTATTTTACTTACTGTTTCCATCAATAACCAGGAAGAAAGGACAGGAATGATTTAGAACGAGGTAGTTAGATAAGTTGACATGGTTAAGCTGGAAAGTTGATTATTTGAAACTAGTCGTTGGCCCATTCTAGACTCCGCATCATATCGTGATCAACGACCCAACCTTCTCGCTATCATTGATCCAAGAGGTGCAGCAACATCCATGTCTATATGATATCAGAGATCCCAAATACAGACATTCCGAATGTCGAAATCAAGCATGGTCGGAAATCATCAAAAACTTGGACTTTCCAGGTTACAGGCATTCTTTCCCACTTCTAGTATGGTTTCTTCTTTTAAATGAAAAAGTTGGTACTCTGGTATATTGTAAACTTTTATTGACAATTTTCACTGTAATTATGTGGAATTAAACCTTTTTCTAGGAGACATCAATTCTATCTATAAGCAATGGAAAAAGGTACGCGATCGTTATGTGAGAGAAAAACGAAAGATGCGGATGTCGAGTGCAAACGGTGGTGAAGTGGAGGAGTCGCAGTGGGATCTGTTTCCACAGATGATGTGGATTGATCCATTTTTAGATGATCGAGCAACGTAAGTTAGATTATGCATTTATAAAGTTCAACGTTAATTTCTATCTATCTATGCAAAACGCAAAGCGGTATTTTTTCATTAAAAAGTTGTTCAGAGTACGAATAATGTCTGAAAGATTTATAGTTTCTCAAAGATCATTTTATAAATTGAAAAGATTTCATTTGGGCAACCAAATTAGGTTAAATAAATACTTTGATCAGCGATGCACTGATAATTGATCAAAATCTTTCAGACATTATTCAAGAAGTGTGAAGCGAAAACATGACAGTGAAGAGTTGTCTGAAGATGGCTTTTTGGACGATTTAACAGATAATTCGCACGGTCAGCACAGTGTCTCACAAAATCAGTCACCGTATTCTACTGTATTATTACCGGGAGGATTGACTGCTGTTAAAACAGTTCAGGGTGAGGAATTAATAAAATCTTTATTTGTTTAAAATAGAGAACTAGGTAAATCAAACATTGGTTATTTAGCACATCTTCTGTTTTATAGTGGCAGATATAACATTATCTCACTAAAGTACTTCAGAAAAAATGATCTTCGAAATTGTAAGTCCATGAACCAGTGGCTGAGAGGAATCCAAGCGTTGTTAGAAAAGAATGATTTTCGTTAGAATACCAAAATAACTTTCAGGTACTTCCAGAGAAGCAGAACGAACAGCAATGGTGACAAGAAATTTATCACTACAACAACGTGATATGAATGCTGTTGATGGTGACAAAGCATTTGCATTAAGTGTAACAGCTGATATGCTTGCACTTCCTGAGCATGCTAGAGCAATTGCAAAGGCTCAGATTCAGAACTGGCTTGATAATTCTAGGCTATCGCAGCAGATACAGTTTGATTCCAAATAGTGGCAACATTATTGTACAGTGCAAATGTTGAATCCAAATGCCAAGTTTGTTAGTATCGTTAATAGGATCTTGGGTATAGTATTGTCTTTGAAGTTGTCCTTAGAAATCACTCAGGTCATTGTAGTTTTATAAACATTATTTTTCTGGTTGTATTAGAAGCAAAAGAATACATTTCACTAGTTTTTCCTCTAAATTATTATTTTGTAATCTTCATTTATTTGGAGATACTTTTCTTGCTTCATTTTGTTATAAAATCAAATGTGTAGGAGAATTCTTTTTATGCATCTTTATTTATTTTTCTCGTATGTAATTTTTTCTATTCTCAAATGATTATTTTCCTTCCGTTTTCTTTGATTCTTATCGTTTTGTTCCCTTTTAAAGTTATGTTTGCATAAGATTTGTTGCAATCTGTGTTTATTTCGGACATAATAATGGCCAGCTGATTATTTTTATCCTCATTAATTACTTTTTAAGAGTATAATCAAATGTTGATCAAGTTGACAATAAGCAATCACCAAGAAACTGCAAAAGCAAAATGTGATTGGTACAGTGGTTATAGCATTGTACCGATCACATTGTACCAATTATGTTGGCTGTACTTTACGCTCAAATTGTATAATGCTGTAAATGTCCTAACAAAGTGGAACAATTCGCATTACAAAAAGTGAATATCAATTTATATCAACTTTTCATATTTCATATCTAGTCTATCTGCTCTTTATTGGAGTTGGCTGTACTTTGCGTATAAATCTAGCACGGGCTAGGGTTGTCTTCATAATGTCAATAGTGTTGCTTAGAAGACTCGTAAAACTGATAGTAATGTTGGACCAACTTCAAATGTGTAGTTCATCATTTCCAGGAGGCAGTGCCTTTTTTTTTCATCAAAACGGCGCTTGTCGGTATTTTCCATCGCTTGTTGAATAAAAACATTACGGCTATGGGTGAAGCTAGTCGGTGTCGACGTATCATTTGGATGGACTGCGAAATGACAGGTCTAGATGTCACTAGTAAAACAATTGTCGAAATTGCTTGTGTTATTACTGAACCTGATTTGACGGTAACTGTCATTGTGTTTCTTTTAAATCTAAATTTGAATGTCAGAAACTGGTGACCGATTTGTGGGGAAGATCTTAAGTGTTTAATTTATTTTAAAATTAGCATTCACTATTTCAGACACTTTGTATGATATTTGAGCATTCAGAACTGATGTGACTTAAAAGTTTGATTTGAATTGTTGATAAAGATGTACGAGTTGCCAGATTGTCGAAGAAGGACTTAATTTGATCATATCACAACCGAAAGATGTTCTTGAAGGAATGGATGATTGGTGTAAAGCAACATTCACGTCCAATGGCCTTCTCCAAGAAATACGATCCAGTAAAATAACAGTGCAACAAGCTGAGAATGAGGTGATTATTATGTTATTTTAATAAGTTGCTTTGAGTATGGAAGCAGATAGACTCTGATTACTTTAGTTCCTAACCAGTAGTCCGTGGACAACTGATAGTCCGCGAGAACTAAAATGTGATCCGCAAGGGTTACTCAATAATAAATTGTTAATAAAAAATTATATCCCTTCTTTTTTAATATTACAATTTACTGTGAGTTCAATTAATATGTCAAAAATTTTGCTTTAAATTTATTTTCAAACTAACAATTCAAGTTCCTGCTACAAATACAAAACCCAAAGTGTGGTCAGCGGTCAAGAAAAGCTTGAGAACCACTGAATTAGAGAAAAGGGCCAAGTTGTAAATTTTGAAAAGTATTGTAAGGCTAAAAGGAATGTACGTTGGCTTATTCTGTGCACTTATCATGCTCAGCACTTTTATATTTCTCTATTAGAATCTTCTGAATCGGAAATTAATTTTCAGATACTAACATATGTCCGACAGCATACTGATCCTGGTATGTGTCCTCTTGGTGGTAATTCTGTTGGTTCTGATCGAATTTTTCTACAAAAATATATGCCCACACTTGAAAAGCATTTACACTACCGAAACATAGATGTATCCAGTATAAAAGAGGTAGAGCTTCCTTTTAAGTCAAAAAAATTTGTTATTTGTCAAAATTAATTGATATTTCTCACCAATTATTAATGTACATTTCTTTATTTTCTTCGGTTAGCGCATTTCAGTTGGCGAAGCGATGGTACCCATACATCTATGCAAGGAAACCGCGAAAAGCAAATACTCATCGAGCACTTGGTGACATTCATGAGAGTATTCAAGAGCTGAATTGGTATAAGAAGAATATTTTCATCCCACGAACATAAACTTTGTTTTTTGTTGTTATTTAAGTCCAACAATATTCAGCTAATGAAAAATAAGGAAATATAAGGTTTGGAGAAATGCAATAAAGTGTTATGAAAAGATAGGAATGATCATGCCTGCACAGACCTAACTGCAAACAGTTGCATTTCTATTTGTCCTGTTTATTACATGTTTCCTCGATAATCTGCCATTTTTTCTGAGAAAATTAAATACCGTTCCCACAAGTGTCGGTAGAACATTTCGGGAGATATCGAGGATATTCCCCATTCTGTCATTCCATACCAGGTAGTGAATTAACCATACTGGGAACATTTTTTTTCTAACATTGAAGAAATCCCACAAGTAAGTTATATTCCCTATAATTTCTAAAAAGGAAGAGCCCTAATTAGTAAACCTATAATAGGTACTATTTTATACGACATGTGCTCTGAAACATGTGATGTAATGTACATCCATTCACGTGTGTATGTGATACCACAAAGGCAATATGATGAGTCATATATATATATATATATATATATATATATATATATA